TTATTATTGGTTGAAAATGTTTATTGTGGCGTAGCATTTTTTTAATCATTATTTACTCAAAATCAATTTCTTATCCCATAAGGTGATTTTAATAGCTTAGCCCTCACATATATTTATAGTTGAAATTTAAAAAAGGAACATTCTTTATTATAATAAAAAATTTAGAAATAAAATACTTGGAAAACTATGGTTAAATTAAATCGTTCGATATATAAATAATTGTTGTGAACAATTTTTTTTTTAATTCTTAGCACTGTGCCTTGTATAATCAACATATTGCATTAATGAGATGACAATAAAATTTAATTTGAAAATAAAATTTTTATTTAAATTAATAACAACGATAGTAACATAACAATAAAAGTAAAGTGTAATAGAAATAATATATTTTATAATTTATTTGACAGTTTTGGTCTGTGAGTCTATTATAAAAAATTTTTCTTTTTAAAAAAAAAAAAAATGCAATGCTTTAGAACCGGTTTTGCATATTAAGAATCTAAAAAAAAAGTTAGAAGATAATACAAAATTATAATTAATTATATTGTAAAAATTATTTTAAGCATTACACTTAGAGAATTTTATTGTAAAGAAAAATATTTATTTCATTCGTTAAATATAAGTATAAACAAGTTAGAAAAAAATTATAAAATTCTTTAATCATAAATATAAACAAATTAAAAATCAAAATAATATATTATAAATATATTACAAATATTACACGGACTAAGCCTTTACATCTATATATATCTATACAATAAAAAAAATTTATTGTATTACTGTCATGTTTTAGAGTATACAATATAAATTAAATATCCCTATCACAAGTTCTTCAAAAATTAGATTTTCAATAAAATTAGCAATTCAAACAATTATATAATTAATAAATAAGCAATCAATTTCATTTGATTAATAATAATTTGATATAATTTCTTTTTTTTAGAAAAATATTGGATATTAATACTCCAAATATTGATAACAATAACAAATATCAACGTGATATACAATTGTTTTCTGTATTAACATATTTTTATTATAAAAATATTACAAAATTTTGTTTCTAAATTACTAAAAACACAAAGTGTCGTGATACTTGATGATTATGATTTTATCTGGACCTCTGTTTGGAATTCAACTCTATTAAAAAAAATTAGTTATCGTAACTTATAGGCTAAGTAATAGGAAAACGAATCACAAATTCATAACCCTAAACCCAAGTTATATTAATACATACATCCTTGTAATTTTTGGAATTTTTAAAAACAGTACTTTGATAAAATTTTACGTATCCACGATTTGAGTCAAAATTTAAGATTTAACGAATGTATTTCAGATTTAGACATATTATTTTTTGACAACCAACATAAAATTATTAAAATAAATATCTAGTTTTATTTATTTTTATTTTTATTTTTTCTTTTTTTTAAAAAAAATCTTATCATAATTATAATTCTAATGTAAACCTTATTTTTTTTTGTAGCTTATAATAAATTATATTTAAAATTATTTAACTAAACCTTACTAGATGAAGAAACGATTTCAAAAAAGATCATTTTCTGCCTTCTAAATTATCTTTATTATTATCGGTAGCTTTATTATCATTTAGATAATCATCTACATTTGGCTTCCTCTTGGAGTAGTTTCTATAATTGAAGAATAAATTTAATTCGTAATAATAATATAACAAAATTTAAAATAATTTTACTTACTCATAAAAACATTTAAGTTCAATACATGATAGCACAAAGGGGGAAACTATATACATTACAATATAAAATAATATATTATAATTATAATTAAATATAAGTTTTTCTTTAAATAAAAGTGCAAATATGATAAAAATTGGAAGTTTAGCGAGTACATTAATAGTATTTAGAAATAATAATTTATTAATCTAAGGATAAAGAAGCAATTAATTAAATACTTAAAAAATAAACAAGTCATTGAATAAGTACTTACTTTCTTCATTAAATTTTGCCACTTCACTAACTTAAGGCTAATATATGTATCATCAGAATTTTCCTTAATGGTTTCTATTTAATGCTTTATTACCCAAGTCAATCTCATCCAAAAGAAAATTTTAAATACAAGAAACAATGCCAATCCACTAGGCCAAGCTATAAAAAGTATTTTAAAATAATAGTATGCTTTATCAAGTGTTTAAGGTTGATCTGCATATGAACCCAGTCTTACTGCAATCGGTAGAAATAAACAAAATGGATGTAGTAATATCAAAATTCCAATGATATCTAATATCAATTTATTTGTTAAAAGTTGTTTGTGATCCAATCTTCATCGTCATCAACTGAAGGTATTGCATAAACTAATAAAAAAAGATAAGCAGAATTAACCTAAAAACAGAATTCATATTGTAAAATAAGGTAAACAAATGATTATATACCAAGGCCTAAAAGATCAATACTACTTATCGATGCTAATAAATTATAAGGAATTATACCAAAGACTATGAAGACAAAATATATAAATTTACAATCAAATCAATTAATTTTTAAATAATAGAATAGGATATTTTAGATTTCACTTACTTTCAGCCCAAAGAACATTAGGATAAATTTCACAAAGTAAACATGACCAATTAATTGCAAACGCTAAATCAAAATACAATCATTTATAAATATTCATTTGTGAATTTGCTAATATTTTTAACATTTCAACTCACCTAAATTAAAAACAATAAGGCCTAATTTTTGTGAATGTGGCGGCCTAAATCTAATAAAGAAATGCAAAATGACTTAAATTATTTTACAAATATGGAAATAACAATATAACAGTAAATACCTAAGAAATCCTCTTTCTCTCATGGGTGGAAAGCACATAGGTTGATTTTTAATTATGATTAAATAACGTAAATTCATCGCACTGAGCAAAACGACGAGCAAATTAAGTATCAGTGTAATAAGACTTGCTATAATATAAAATTCATTATGATCGCAACGATATATGTTAATCCAAAAGTCGCATGCACAAATTTGTGTGGATTTATCTTCAGAAAATTTACAACTTCGTGCATAACTATTATTTAATTAGACCATATTTTATGATAACATCAAGTGAAGTTGATTTAATTTTTATTTGTATAAAGAAGGAATTTAGTCGATTATTTATAATAAGATTAGATTGGAATGTTTGTGTCGCAAATAGGTTGGTCTGGCCATTTTGTTGATTAATTCATACTTTTAGTATAACAAAATATATGGTGTAAAAAAAAAGTATAATAATGCCGATCACAGTTAGTTTAATTAGAATTAAATTAGAATTGAGTTTAATTAGATAATTCATTTACTAATCAAGTTTATTTTATTTAATACATAAATTTTTTAAAGTTTCATTTATCAAATTACTGGATTAGTTCTGTACAAAATAGAAATTCAGATTTTTTGATTTAAGGATTGGGAATCGATTCTAAAAAAAATGGAATCTGGTTAATTTTTAACCAACTAGATAACGGAAATAATATCACAGCAAGATAAAGGTACTGTATAATCGAAATATAATCTAAAATAACAATGCCTTGTGATTAAGGAGTACAATGTTAGAAGTTTGTCATATATTATATATCAATCTGTTAATCTTTTTTTTCCAATATACAATTTGAGTTTATACAATAATTTTAGTATACAACAATTATTTTGGCTTACTCATATTAATTTTTTTAAAATATTGTTTATTTGTTGAAAAAAAAGACAGATTTATATTCTACTTGAAGATGAATATCCTTATCATTTTTGTATGAATTAACATATATTAATAATAATTTTAAAAGCTACCCAAAATCTAGATATTCAAAATATCTACCTAACTAATTAAAAGAAATGAAAGGTTTATAAAGTAAAATATACCAACAGTTAATAAGGTGAACTATACGTTAATTTTACATCATGCGCGATCCTAAATCACGTGAGATTTAGATTTTTTTAATTTTCATTTGAAATTTGTGCATTATTCTATAAATTATACAAAAAGGATATGATAAAAATTTATGATGTATTTACAAATGTTAATTCTTGTAGACTTTATTAATGTATAATAATATAATTATAAAAATAATTTATTCATACACTAAATTTTTTTATTTTATACATAATAAAAATAAATTTAAAATAAAAATTCATCTAAAAATTAGAAATTTCTTAATTTAAAATCTAAACTTTGAACTAATTTAAATCTAAGATTAAAGAAAGTTAAACTTATTTTAAAAAATTTTAATAAAATAATATTTAAAAGAAAATTAATTTTTTTATATTTGAATATTTTAGATTTCTTAAGATTTTTTAAACTAATATAAATATATAATATATTATAAAAAAATATAAAAAAAAATGAATTTATAAAATATATAATAATTATTTTAAAATAAGATATTTAAGAAAAATTCATAAAATTAATATAATTTGTTACAATCTAAATTTTTTATAAATTAAGTAAAAATAAGATTATTAATAATTTTTATTAAATATATTCAAATTAATTTTATTCAAAAATTTGCAAAATTAAGTTTATTGAAAATATAAAAATTATTAGTATGAGAATTTAGTAAAATTTACAAAACTTAAAATATTAGTTTACCTTATTAATTAAAAAATGAAGATTTTAATTTTAAAATTTTAATATAATAATTATTTAAAATAATTTTAAAAATATTATTTTTAATAGTTTATTTTATAAATTTATTACTATATAATAATAATGATTATATTACTATTCTATTTTAACATAAGATTTTTGAATTATGACATGTAATATAATACTAGTCAAAATTAAAAAATTGAATATGCAAAAAATCAGCCTAAAATCAACTTAAAATTAACGATAAATTATCAAAAATTGGTCTAGCTGATTAGTATACATTAAGAATCAGCCAAAATTTAGCCAAAATTTAATTTATATATTTATAACTGATTGCATATTTTAGTATACATTAAAAATTAACAAAAATTTGATATATCTGATTTATATCTAATTGACATATACTGAAACTTAGTTAAAATATATTAAATTCAGAAGATAATATATCTGAAATTCAATTTATTTAGAACGATAATTTCAATCATTCTAGTTAAATAATAATGGAATCATTCTTTTGGAATGATAATTTTGATCATTTTAATTGAATGATAATTGAATTGTTCAACTGAAATATTTTTTTTTATTTTAGTTGAATAATGATAAAATCATATATTTGGAATATTTTTTTATTATTTTAGTTAAATGATAATGAAATTATTAGATTAGAATAATTTTTTTATCGTTCTAGTTAAACAATAATAAAATATTCAATTAGAATAATTTTTTTATCATTCTAGTTAAACAATAATTAAATCATTTGACTGAATAATTTTTATCATTTCAGTTAAATGATAATAGAATTATTCAATTAAAATAATTTTTTTATCATTCTAGTTGAATGATAATAAAATCATTTAACTGAAATGATAATTTTGATTATTTTAGTTGAATAATAATTAAATATTTGACTAGAATAATAATTTTAATTGTTTTAATTAAATGATAATTGAATCATTTTAACCAAAATAATTTTTTAATTATTTCAGTTAAATGATAATTAAATAATTCAACTAGAATGATAATATCAATCATTTTATTTGAATGATAATGAAATTGTTCAACTAGAACAATAATTTTGATCATTCTAGTTGAACAATAATAGAATCATTTAACTAGAATAATAATAAAATCATTTGACTAAAATGATTTTATTATTTCAGTTAAATGATAATAGAATTATTTAAACTAAAATAATTTTTTTATCATTCTAGTTAAATGATAATATTAATCATTTCAGTTGAACAATAATTGAATTATTTGATTTGAATAATTTTTATTGTTCGAGTTAAACAATAATAAAATTGTTTAACTGAAATGATTATTTTTATTATTCTTGTTAAATGATAATGAATTGTTAAATTGAAACAATTATTTTATTATTTCAGTTAAATGATAATTGAATTGTACAACTAAAATGATTTTTTTATTATTCTAATTAAATGATAATTGAGTTATTTGACTAAATAATTTTTTATCATTCTAATTGAACAATAAAATAAAAATATTTACTTAGAATGATTATATTATTCTAATCAAATAATAAAAATAAATCATTTAATAAAAATAATTTTATCATTTCAAATTGAATAATAAAATAAGAATTATTCAATTGCAACAATTTTTTATTTTAAATCAAATGATAAATATAAAATTATTCAATTAAAATAATTATATCATTCCAATTAAATAATAAAAAATAAATCATTTGAATGGAATAATTTTATTATTCTAATTGAATGATAAGTATAAATCATTTGATTTAGAATGATTTTTTTATTCAATTAAGAATAATTTATTATTCTAGAATGAAAGTATAAAATTGTTCAATTAGAATGATTTTATTATTTTAACTAAATAATAAATAGTATAAAATCATTCAATTAGAATAATTATATTATTCTAATCAAACAATAAAAATAAGTCATTAAATTTGAAATAATTTTATCATTTTAACTAAAAGTTAAGTATAAAATTATTTAATTAAAATAATTTTATCATTTTAAATTAAACGATAAATAAAAATACAATTTTATTGAGATTATTATAATAAATCATTTTGATAAATTGTTTCTAATTTACTTTAAATCTTATATTAATTTAATGTATTATTAAATATACTATTTGAGTTTATTTTTGATATATATAGAATATTTATATAACTAAACTTAATTATTTTATTTTTAAAAATAATTTTAATTCAAACTATATATTTTTACAATCATTTTCAAATTTTTCTTTTTTACATACTACTAAAAACAAAAAGAATTAAGTTAAATTTTATCAACCAAATAGTCAAATTTTCAAAATAATAAACTGATTTTTTTACTTTTTATAATTGAAACATGCTTTTAACTATCAAATTAAATAAAGAAAAAGTTGAAATTTAATCAACTATTTAAAATAATAAACTATTTTTTACTTTCTATAAAATAATAAACTGATTTTTTTTACTTTTTATAATAAAAATATGCCTTTAACTATCAAAATCAGATGAAATATAGGTTGAATTTAGTTCAACTTTCAAAATAATAAACTGATTTCTTCTACTTTCTATAATAAAAACATTCCTCTAACTATCAAAATAAAATGAAGAAAAAGCTAAAATGTAAGTAAAATTTTAGTTATTTTTTCAGATAATAAGTAGGGTTAAATTGGGGGTTCCAGGGTCAAAATCGAAAAAGATATCCAGAAAGATCCCAATCATAGGCCAGAAGCCTTTCTAGCTATATGAATCTATAATATAGAATTCAGGTCTAAAATGACACCCGGTGCTCAATTTCGTTATCAATTCTCCTTGCTATAAAATTTGAGTTTCGAAATCTAAAATCAACCAAATTAATATAAACTTTCTAGCGCGATTTTAAACCCGCCAAAGATATCAAAAAAAAATACCATTCTATTTGCCTTTAAGATGAGGCGAGACTTGCAAAAACCAAAGGTTCGAAGCCAAGCTCGTGGAGACTTTGCAAACCTTCTATCTATATATATATTTATGCTATACTGCTTGCCTTTGGGAGTAGACTCGAATATTAAGGAACGAAATGACAAAATATTCAAGGCTACGTCCTTATCAAGCCTAAGATGCATACTAATTTTTGAGATATTCTAGAATTAATTCTAAAAAGGATTCATCATCATCTAGCAAAGTAAAAAATGTACACCTAAACTCATTTTAAGTGTAAATTTTTTATATGTGTATAAGAAAGTTAAAAAGATATAGAACATATTCTAGCATACCAATATTTTCTCAATATACAGGAAACCATTCTTGAACCATTTAAACCCCCCA